CCCTTCGAGTGGATGATGCGAGCAAGTGGGAGCTCGCTATGAAAGATGAAATAAAATCCTTGAACACCAACAAAACATGGGAACTTGCGAAGCTACCAACGGGGAAAAAGGCCTTGAGCAATAAATGGGTGTACAGAATCAAAGAGGAACATGATGGTTCCAAGAGATACAAGGCCAGATTGGTGGTTAAAGGATTTCAGCAGAGGGAAGGAGTTGATTACACAGAGATCTTCTCTCCAGTAGTCAAACTGACTACCATCAGAACAGTCCTGAGTATTGTTGCAGCTGAAGATCTATATCTCGAGCAGCTAGATGTAAAGACAGCTTTCCTCCACGATGACCTAGAGGAAGAGATATATATGCAGCAGCCAGAGGGGTTTACTCAGAAGGGAAAAGAGAGGATGGTATGCAGATTGAAGAAGAGCTTGTACGGCCTGAAACAAGCTCCAAGGCAATGGTACAAAAAGTTTGATGGATTCATGCACAGGAACGGTTATTCCAGATGCAATGCTGATCATTGCTGTTTTGTCAAAGAGTTTGACAATAGTTACATCATCCTACTCCTATATGTCGACGACATGCTAGTAGCCGGTTCAGATATGACAGGGATCAAGAAACTGAAGAAGCAACTGTCGAGTGAGTTCGACATGAAGGATCTAGGCGCAGCGAAGCAGATATTGGGAATGAAGATCAGTAGAGATAAACTCTTGGGCACACTGCGGCTATCTCAGGCCGAGTATATTCGACGGGTGCTTGAGAGATTCGGGATGAGTGGTGCTAAGGCCGTTAGCACACCGTTAGCTAGTCATTTCAGATTGACTAAGGAGCAGTGTCCCGAGACTGATGAAGAGAAAGACTACATGGCTAAGGTTCCATATGCTTCAGCCATTGGAAGCCTTATGTACGCCATGGTATGCACGAGACCCGACATTGCCCATGCAGTGGGAGCTGTGAGCAGATTTATGTCAGATCCAGGAGAGCAGCACTGGGAAGCAGTAAAGTGGATTCTGAGATACCTGCGAGGTACGATAGATGACTGTTTATGCTTCAGAAGAGGCAAGTTAGTTCTGCAGGGTTTTGTTGATGCAGACTATGCTAGTGAGATAGACCAGAGAAGAAGCACTACAGGATACGTATTCACTTTGGGCTCTACAGCTATTAGTTGGATTTCTCAGTTGCAGAAGATCGTTGCTTTATCAACAACAGAGGCTGAATATGTTGCGGTGACAGAGGCAAGCAAGGAGATGATATGGTTGCAGGGCTTCTTGGAGGAGCTGGGACAGAAAAGTGAGAAGAGTGTCCTACATTGTGATAGCCAGAGCGCAATTCATTTGGCAAAGAATCCCGCTTTTCATGCAAGGACCAAACACATACAGGTCCGCTACCACTTCATAAGATCAGCGTTGGACGAGGACATGTTGGAACTTGTGAAGATTCAAGGAAGCAAGAACCCAGCTGATATGCTTACCAAGGTTGTCACTACAGAGAAACTGAAGTTGTGTTCAATGGCGCGGCGGTCGACCGACGTCGTGCACAGCTGGGTGCACAGGCCAGGAGCTCATCGCGGTCGACCGCATGTGGCGCTACGGTCGACCGCTCAAAGTCCAGAGAGCAGTCCAGAGTTTTGTCTTCGTCGCGGTCGACCGCACATGGCGCTGCGGTCGACCGCCCAAAGTCCAGAGAGCTCGATCAGGAATAGGATTCGTCGCGGTCGACCGCACGTGGTGCTGCGGTCGACCGGAGTCGGGTTTTGGCCCAGATTCGTTTTTTAACCTGATTTGATCTGTTTCCTTGTTTACTTGTTAAACCCTTAAGTCTATAAAAGGGTTGATTAGGGCATGATGTAAAGTGACGAAAAATAGTGAATTTTTCTCCTGCGGCGGCCGTGGACGTAGTTTCTCATATTGAGAAGCGAACCACGTAAATCTTGTGTGTTTGAGATTGTTTGATTTTCTCTCTTCTCTCCTAAATCTCTATTTCCAAATCGCATCAGGGGGGTTGTTCATCCCCAACACCTGACAAGCGCCAGTCTACTACAGGATATGTATTTACATTGGCAGGAGCACCGGTGTGTTGGAGATGCACACTTTAGTCTACAATGGCTCTCTCCACTACGGAGGCAGAGTATATGGCATTGACTGAAGCTGTAAATGGGGCTGTGGTTGCAGGGGTTATTGGATGACTTGGGGATTGCACAGGATATCATCAGGGTACATTGTGATAGCATGTCAGCTATCTATTTGGCCAAGAACCAGGTGTATCATGCCCTCACAAAGCACATTGATGTCAGATTCTATTTTATTCGAGACATATTGGATGATGGAGACGTCAGATTGGAGAAGATCCATACAAAAGACAAACCGACAAATATGTTGACCAAAGTTGTCACTGGAGTGAAATTTATTCATCGTTTGGAATTATTGAACATTCTTCGTTGTTGAAGGCCTTTAGAGGCCATTAGGTGAACTACGTGAATGCTTGATTCCTTGGGCAAGAGGATACGTAGGCAGTTATTTATGATGCAACCGATTTGGTGAGTTGATACCGACATTCGGAGAGTGTTCACATTCTCATTTTGCTCTCGACTTGTTGTGGATTGAGTCCGTTGTCGTGGTTTTATTCCACTTCGTACTGGACGCAACAAGTGAGACGATTGGTTGGTATTAGTGTCGGCTCAGTTTTGAAAAAACTTTACCGAGATGGAGATTTGTAGAAGAACGAACCTGATGGAGGCGAGAAAGCTCGCCTGAGACGCAGGCTTGACGAGCTCGCCTGTAGGCGAGGGCGAGGTTCTCAGGCGAGGGTGGACAGGCGAGGAAGATCGCCTGCGTGGAATCGTGGAGCTCGCCTGTCGCTCGTGGATCTCGCCCGTGGGTCTTGGAGAGGCGAGGATGGAGCTCGCCTGTGGGCGAGTTTGGTTCGAGCTCGCCTGTATGATCACGAGCTCGGGAGAGGCGAGGATGGAGCTCGCCTGTGGGCGAGTTTGGTTCGAGCTCGCCTGTATGATCACGAGCTCGCCTGCTCGTGATGTGTTCGCCTGCGGAGATGTGGTGGGATCCAGCTGGATCCCACCCGATTGAAGAGAGCTTGCCCTAGGGTTTCCCTATAAAAGGGAAACCCTGTTCACAGAGGATTGAGAGCGATTGAGGAGCGGCGGCTGAGCTTGATCAGAGAAGAGCGGCAGCGGTGTTTTTCCTCTGCAATATTCAACTTCAATTTGGGGAACTCTCCTATTTGTGAAGCCCCAAATTTGTCACTTACTCATTAATTGAGGAGAAAGGGGTTTGGTGAATTAAAGGGGGTTTTCTTTGAGTAACAGAGAGAGTGTGTGTGTTTGAGCATTGATTTTAGATTAAAATCAATTGCTATTTGTTTGAGAGATCTCATGTTTGAGATTATCTCTCTTATTTGTAATTTCTTGTTATTAATAAGAAATTATTATGCCGCTCCCGTGGACGTAGGCAGATTTACCGAACCACGTAAAATCTGGTATCTTGCATTTATGATACTTATTTTGGTTGTTGATTAGTGTTCCAATCTTGTTTGTAATTGTGTGCCTTCGGTTCCGCTGCGCACAACAAAATCCTACTAACATATGATGAAATTTAGGGAATGCTAATATGCCTTAATTTTTTATGTTAAAATTTTATTTAGAAAATAAAAATCAAAATTTCACAAATGATCATTTGAGATCTGGAAACCTGACATCAAACGTTAGTTTTTACGATCATAAAGCCATCAATAACAGCTTAATTTTTCTTTTAAAAAAAGAAATTTTTCTTATGGTTGTGATCATCAGAGGGCAAAAAGTTCATATATCAACAAAGAACAGAGTGCGTGATCAGAACCTCCAAACAAAAGGGGAAAAAACACATAACTAAACCCCATAAATGTAAGAAAAAATCACAAAAGCTACAACTTTTTCCGAATTCAACAGACTTGACAAGAATAATTTAAGTATAGGTGAAAGATCAAATCTTAGAGAAGCTCTCATTATCGATCCTATTCTGACAATTGAGCTCCACTCCTTGATTATGGAACTCTACAATGCATTCTTTTGCTGAAATTGAAACCGATTTGAATTTGAGGAAAACCTAAGCCAAATAGAGATAGAAAGCACCTTGTTCTCATCATCAGAAGAGTGATTTCGGCTCCAAAGAAAGTCGGCAAGAAGCTAGTCATCATCTTTGGCGTAGGCCCTCGAGGAGGTGGTCATCAGTGTCGACTTCTACCATTAATTTGAGGAAACTGGCTTGCCCCTTTCGTTTATATATCCAGAAGCCCAAGACTCGAGTACAAACCAAAATAAAATCCCAACCACTCTATCACCCATGCACACAAAGAATAGCATTTAACTTATAACTCCACTCCGTCTCCTTTCAATTTCGCCACGTAGGTCTCCTTCACTTCATCAAATTTGGTTATGGGTCTCATCCATTTTTCTGTATAATCCATGATAAATTTCGTTGATTGATGGATTTCGCCATCTGATTGACTGACCATATATTAAAAAAAATGCCTGATAGAAGCCTTTCTTGCCGAAAATCCCTCTTCTTTCTCTTCGCCATGGCCACATTATTATTGATCTTAATATCAGTGGTTCTTCTCTCAGACTCCACTGGCGCTCCTCGTCTCGTAGATAACCGTAAGGCTCTCCATTTCTCCCCTCAAGACAACCAGAGATTAAAAAAAAAAAAAATCCGGATAATGCGATGATGAAGGGGCAAACTTTATTCGGGTTGCTTCCTTGTACGCAGGAGGTATTTCGTCAAGCCAGAGTGACTAAGGTAAAGAAGTGACACGTGCCGGTTTTTAATTGGGCTGGAGTATGACAGTTTAGCGTTCAATGAGCGTGCAAGAATTAATTTCCAAAAGAACACACAAAAAAGTGATCTGTTAAAACTCAAATCTTTCCATCCATATAAAACGTAACAAAACCCGACGGGGCATGTAGGTACGGTCTATGATGCAAGTTACCCCAGAGGAAGTCACCATGAAAATGTCGATAAAAAATAAAAGAGGCCTTTGCGTAATGATATTAGAAAATATCAAGTACTACATTATGATATTCAGAAACATCAAGTGTCGTTCTGAAAATATTCAAAATATCAGCTGCTACATAATATTGTTGAATAAAATCAATATATCTTCACCACCAATGAACTTCAGTTGCTTCCTGAGTAATGAGCAGATATCACACTCACAGCTCTAAGTAGCCTGCCAAGATTAAAGAAACATGGTGTTAACTAAAGGCTAAAAGATGCACATCTCTTCATTTGCATGTGCCTGTATTAAGCAAATGTGTAAGCATCAATTTCTGCATATAACTGGTTCTTTCTTTTCACAAAATTTCAACTGTGCGGTGAAGAAACGTGTGAATGGGAGGACAAGTTTGCATAATCGGTCAACTTGAATAAGACTGTTTCACTATAAAATATTATATATACCAGTTTCATATAAAAATTTTGGTCCTTCTCAAATTTTCTTCACAGGGTATGGGATTCTTCATACATTTTCTCAAATTTCTCAAATCTGGAGAAGTATCGTAATCATACACAACTTGTACAATACTCCGTAGGTAATAAATTTGAGAAGCTGTCAAACTACACGAGGACTTTCTAGGTAGTCACCCATCTCAGTGCTACACTCCCTGAAGTACGCTAACTAGGGAGTTTTCATATAACCTCAAGCATGCATAACCAAAGGAGGTTATCTTCATTCCATATGTTCCTGTTGTTTAGACCATACGCCTTATGTGGGAACTAACACGCACACGATACCCTTATTATTTTCCAAATAACAGTATATGCAGTTCTTTTTCCAGAAAAGGACTTCCTAGGAGATCATTCATCCAAGGACTATAATTTTCCAAACAATTTAGTAGGGATTTCTTTTTCCTTTAATTCCTGCCACATTAATGCTAGCTATGATTAAGTTTCGAGTATGTGGGAACCAATACGCACACAATAACCTTATTACTAGCACAACAGTGTGAGAGTTTCACTTTTTTTGGCCATGATATCCCCAAAGTTATCCTCAGTCCTCAACCAAAAATCAAAAACTAAAAACTAAAAAAAATAAAAAACTAAGAAGAAATCTCATCCAGCTGACTACAAAAACTATGGACGAACAAATTCTTCGCATATGTACTTGAAAAAGAGTAAACTGAAAGAAGGATCTTACCTTTTTACTAAATTGGGAGAAAATGCCCTTTACAGCATCAAAGACCTCGTCAATAGGCCTTGCAGCATCAATCTGCATGATAACAAATTCAATTAGTAATTTTGTACAAATTCATGGAATTTAAAAAAGGGCCATAAATAGAGATTATCATTGGTTTTAAGAAATCATTTTAAATGAACTCAACAGATCCTAATATATACATTAGGATAAGAGAAAGTCCATGACTATAAAGCAATTTGTCACGGTAGACATTATTATCATTATCATCAAACCTTTATCCTAGTGGAAAAAGATTGTCTAAGGAATGCGATGTAAATTGAGGACTCTCCATAAACTTTAGACCAGACTTTCAGGACTGATTATCACTTATCAGCGTGGTGCCAATTAATTCATGACTCGGTGTCAACTACCAACAGGGCAAGCAGTTTCAACAGTTCTGCCTCATAGAAACTAAGCAGACTGCTGGCAGTAGAAAGCTTGCACTATAGCCTATTGGTCATGTTTCTAAAGATTATGAAACCAAAACCCACCATCCAAACTCCTAGATAATAGACCATGAAAGAGTATAATCAACGGGGTACTATGATATCATTTGAATAGAGAAACAAATTCGTTTGTAAAGTGTATAGTACAAAAAGACATCTCATTCAAATTTCATGTTTTGATACGCACTTTTCCTTTTACGACCAGAGGAGAATATTATCTCTTTTACCAAACACATTCTAGACAAAAGGAATTATATTCTCAAAAATGGAAAACTAGTAATCTTTTCTAATATCACATAGAAGGTAACTATATTCAGGAAACAAGAAAAACAATCAATGCAATGTCTACACAAATTAGGGCAGCCGAGTAAATACCTTGCGAACCTTGCCCTTTGAATTGTAATATTCAACAACAGGCACACTGGATTCCATAAAGACCTTAAAACGTTTCCTTATTGTCTCAATGTTATCATCATCTCTCCCCTACATTTCCATTTTTGAAAAGTTCAGATAACATTAACATCTTGGATAAATGATATAAAGTCTCCTCATTTTCATCGATAAGGTCAACTTAAAAAACATATGAAGAGAAAGGGGAGCTATATCTAAAAGGTGAAAGGAACAAACGTATGTTCTACTGCATATGTGAAAGAGCTAGTGAATACCTGATTACGGTTCAAAAGACGCCTCTCCATTTCCTCCTCTGAACATTCAAAAAACAGGACAAATTCTGGCTCAATCTTTGTCTGTGAAAACCAAGAACTACTTAACATCCCAAATTTACGTTTGAACACGAAAATGTTTATTAATTGATTTCAGAAACCCTCAGTATGTAAGAAAAGAAGCTCCATGAACATCAACTGGTTTTCTTAATAAACTAGCAATATGATGTAGTCTTACAACGTTCTCAAATGCAGCACGATTCTCCTCGTTCCTTGGGAACCCATCAATAAGAAATTTGTCATTTGCAGTGTCCAGTATGGCTTTCTGCAGAAGTTTAATTGTCACCTCAGAAGGTACTATCTTTCCCTCCTTTATCATATTCTGAATCATAGTTCTAAAGAAAGAAGAAGATTAAACATTTGATGGTTAGAGAGAGAGAAACGTGAAAACAGAATCACATTCAAATACAAAAAATACAACAGAATAGAATTCAATCCTAGTAGCTAAAGTTATTGATACAGGTAAAACATGCATTCTGGAAATAATTGAATGATTATTGCAGATGATTTAAAATGAGGAGAGGGTGATAATAGCTTTATACCCATTCTCAGAACCAGATTTAATTTCAGCACGAAGAAGATCGCCTGCACTGAGATGGGTAAAGCCAAAATGTTCAACAATATTTGCACATTGAGTTCCCTTCCCACTGCCAGGTCCCCCTGAACATATATTTAGACATGAATTCAGGTTCAGATATAAAAAGTAGACTTAACTTAAAAGGGTGCTGCAAGTGCAAACTCTGGGGTTCAAATCCTGCTTAAGGCAAGATACAAGCTATTGTTTAAACTAGCAAAGAAAAGAAAAAGGGAAATGAAAAGGAATGTGAAATTTTGATAAATCTGTTATATATAGATTTGTATGATAAAGTAATAACTAGAGTAGAGCAAATGAAGGAGAGACTAAATATTTTCCCATTAGCATAGGATTGCATCAAGGTTCAGTCTTATGCTCTTTCGTTTAGCACTGGTTATGGACCAACTGACTAAACATATTTAGGATGAAGTCACATGGTATATGTTGTTTGCTGACGATATAGTATTAGTTAGCGAGTCTAGAAAATGTATAACTTAGCAAGTAGAAAAGTGGAGACAATCTCTCGAAACTAAATGTTTTAAAATTGGCTAAATGGCACTTAAATACCCTATTGTTTCACCACCTTTATATTTAAATACCCTAAGTTGTAAAAAGTAGCACTTTAATACCCTATTGTTTCACCACCTTTATATTTAAATACCCTAAGTTAAAAAATTAGCACTTTAATATCTTAAGTTGTAAAATAATAGCACTTTAATAACCTAAGTTTTAAAAAAATGGCACTTAAATATCCTATTAGTTCACCACCTTTACACTTTAATATTCTAAGTTGTAAAAAGTAACACTTTAATACCTTAAGTCAGTGTTATTGAGGCGTGCGCGCCAGACGCGCTCCAGGCCCAGGCCCTATGGCCTGCAGCAGATGCGCTTCGCACCAGAGGCGGGGCGCTGCAGGCACGCGAGGTGCGTGCCTGGACGCGAAATTATGTTAGTTTTTTTTAGTTTTTCTCTTTTTTGTTTTCTTCTTTTTAAAAATAATTTATATGATTACATATTTACATTATGTAATAGACTGTTACTTTTTTCATATTAGACACTTTTTGAGGATGAGGAAATTCTACTTTAGTTGGATGAGGATGACTAGACACTCTATTATTTTGCTATTTGCTTATTTTGTTTCGTAGACTTTTGCTCATGTTGGATATTATCTTGCATTGTGATTTGTGAAAACTTATGAACTTCTCTATGTTATGCATGCTAATAAGACTCTTTCGTGATTTAGTAGGTAAAATTATATTTCTTAGCCTTTTTATGTGACAATCTATAAATATGTTGTTTATATGCTTCTTTGTCTTATGTTAGAAAATATTAGTTTGAGTTGTTCGCCTCAATTCAGTGAGGCGTACGCATTGTTGTGCGCCTTGCGCATGGTGCGCGTAAGGAACCTTTGCGCCCCGCATTGTGTCTTACACCTCGATAACACTGCATTAAGTTATAAGAAAGTAGCACTTTAATACATTGTGTTAATTGTCAGGGCATATTCCTAAGAAAATTATCATGATAACTAACAGAATGTACTAACATGTCAATTTTTTACAACTAACAGAATGTACTAACGTGTCAATTCAGTGAGGCGTGCGCATCGTTGTGCGCCTTGCGCATGGTGCGCGTAAGGGACCTTTGCGCCCCGCATTGCGTCTTACACCTCGATAACACTGCTTTAAGTTATAAGAAAGTAGCACTTTAATACCTTGTGTTAATTGTCAGGGCATATTCCTAAGAAAATTATCATGAAAACTAACAGAATGTACTAACGTGTCAATTTTTTACAACTTAGGGTATTAAAGTGCTACTTTTTACAACTTAAGTTATTTAAGTGTAAAGAGGGTGAAACAATAGGGTATTTAAGTGTCATTTAGCCAAAAACAGAAAATACATAGAATGTATTTTTAGTAAAACTAAAAAGAAAAAAGAGCCTATAGTACATATTGATGGTCCATAAATATCTAAAAGTAGAATAAATCGTTTGACATGATGGGGATGATGTTGATGGTTGAATCAAATGGAGAGGGTTAAAATGAAGTTCTTCAGGAGTTCTTGTGTCATCGCAGAATACCTATGAGTCGAAAGGAAAATTTCTATAAGATGGTTATTAGACCAACGATACTTTATGAATCAGAATATTAGGCAATTAAAAAATAACATATGCGAAAAATGATTGTAGCAGAACTGAGAATGTTACAATGGTCTCGTGGATATACACTAAAAGATAGGATAAGAAATGAGTGCATACGTAATAAATTAGAGGTTGCATCTACTGAGGATAAAATGAGAGAGAATCGACTAAGATGGTTTGGTCATGTAAAATGAGGACTTCTTAGCGCACCGATTATGAAAAGTGATAACGTTATAGTTAATGGGGAAAAAAGATAAGAGGGAGATCTCAGAAAGCTTGGCTAGAATTAATTAAGAAGGATATGAAACTTAACGGAGGAGATGACCTAAAATCGAACGGAATGGAAGAATATGATTCATGTAGCTAACCTCAAATATTTGGGATAAAGACTTTGTTGTGGCTGTTATTGATGTTAATGTTATTGTTATAGGCAACTTGGAGCTGGTAACTGACAAAGCCTATAGTTGGTCTGCTTTTTCTATAGGGAACAAAGTACGTAGCATAAACAAGAATTTGCGAGTTTCATATCTCAAACCCAATGATTTACCACTGAGTGATCCTGGTATTAGCAACATTTCTCAAAATTTTCACCAAACTGACATTGCCACAAGCAAATGTCCATCCTGTGAAAGATGACTGTCCTTCTTGCTACTTTTCGTGTTGAGCTTGTTTGAATAATAGTATGTGAATAAGGCATTTCTACGGTGTTATTTAAAAGGATACAGCTGCACAACCATCAGGCAGTGCTTAACATCTTACTGAGGTACTTTTAAACTCAAACAACCTTACAGGCTCACCATTCCATAATTATTACTGCTCAGAGAGAAAGTCAACAGAATGGTTTCTTCAATAGATCAAACAACATAAATGCATATCATTTTCATTTAGGTAACTATTCCTCATTCTGAAACTACAGCTAATCTCTGATGCAAAGAGAACAAGTTAATAAAGAAAACTCAAAATTACAATAATTGAATGTAGATTAGGAAAAGGTTAGGCCTTCACAAAAGTTCTCACCTAAAACAAACACGACAGTGACTTTCTTGTCGATGAATGCAATACCAGTAGCATCCTGCAATAAAACGGTATCCTCATTACTCGTAAAGAATTGCAAACCACAACAATAAATTGTTGCAAGTTATAATGGACAATTTTTTTCACATGCATAACTAAACAAAGACTTACGAGATCTGTGAGAAGGAACTGGCAAGGCTTATAAATGGACTTCCTAGTAAATCCTAGAAAGATAACCAGTTCAAAGGTTCCCCCTGAAAGGATTTAGGATCTAAATGACACAGAATTTATTTCCTAACCTAATTAGAGGATTTCAGTAGTCCTAAAGCAAACCCTTGGAGCACTTTTTCCTTCAAGTTTATTAATGTATTTTACTACTACACTATAGAGTTATGTCCACTAAGAACTTTTTGGTCGAATTCTTCCAGTAAATATGACACTGGTCCTCAATTTTTAAAATCGAGACATGGCTAAATTACATAATGCATTTTCTATATATGTTGTGATGTATGCTATTACATGCACTTTGATACATATACAAATAGTATCTATCCTCATTTGAGGTGATCCATCCCTCTAGTCCTCTGACCCAACTGGCACATGGGCATTTGAAATTTGATACTTCTCAACAAAATAAATTGATCGAGTGCATGAAAGACTACGAGAAATGAGGAGGAGGATTACCTTGGAAGCATCAGTCACGGTGCCCATATATGCTGATTAATTTGCTCAAGCTGAAATTTGTAATGAAACAATAAGATAATTAATGTATGGTGAGAACCATTCATGTGAACCCATATACAAATATAGGAATAAATTTCTAGCAATAAAAAAAGTTTTCTTCTTTAGAATTGGTCTTTCAAACTTCAAATTATGTGTCGGCTGTCTAATCTTATATTTAATATTTACTTGGAATTTCACAGTAAACACACACAAAGCAGTCTACTTGAAGATAAATCATGGGTTCAAACTGAGATGATAAAGATAAAGACCCACAGACACGGGCACGGCACTACGAACTAAAACATATTGTACGCAAAAACGTTTCTCATCTACAAAGTGATTTCTTTGATACAAGCAATAAACATAGGATCAAGTCGATATCTCTTAATGCTGATATGAATTTATTGAATTGCAAACCAAGGAACGAGTTTCTGTGTATAAATAGGCACTTCAAAAAAATTTAAATCAACCACAAATAATGATAGAAACTACAATCTATATTGCATCATTAAACAAATAAACAGAAGATCAAAAATTATAATCAATAAGCATTTGATCTAAGCATTAACAACAAAGAATTCACCAGATCTAAACAGAAGAAGAAATCCAAACCCTTTGATATGTACACAACAATTTCCACTCAAATTATCATTATAACGAAAGTAGAAGAATCAAACAAGCAAAGAATCGCATCAGATCCCAAGGAATTCAAACAAATTGAAGAACGAGATCCAATACCTTCAACTTCTCTGGGCGCGGAGAGGGAATCGAGATCTGAGAAGAACAAAAAATGAGGCGTTTGAAGAATTAAATGCGCTTTTATAGTGCCCTGCTCACCAATGTGTCTGAATTAGAAAAGAACATAATAATAAATTAAAAAACAAAAAAATATATCGAGAGAGAGAGAATAAAGAGCGTGATTTGAGCGAAACCAATGGGTTGGACTTTTTTCTTACCTAATTTTAAAAGGCCGGCCCACGTTGTTGACGGCGTTAGAAGTGAGCGATCGTCTGGGCCGTTGGATTGTGTGAAGTGATGAAAATTGACCAATCCTCACCGTCGGTTGGCGGAAGACGAGGGCCCGAAGGAATAGGCAAGCTTGAAGGGAAAGAAAAGGAAGAGAGTTGAGACCTCAGCATCAAGTTCTCTTTTGCTCTGCAATGTACGAATTTAAAATTCCTATATTCTAGCTCCACCATTTAATTATGTTTTTATTTTCCTTCTCCTTTTTTTTATCCTAGTCTCCTTTCTTTTTTTATTTTTTATTTTTTATTTTTTTTATTTTTTATTTTTTATTTTTTATTTTTTTGGGATGGGATAAATATAATTGCTTGTAGTATTGTGCTTGGGACTATAGGCTTTCCGCCTTCTCTTGTTGCCATAAGGAACGGCCCAGTAGATAGTTTACAAAATATTATTGGGAAGAAATAATACGTATCCTACAGTACGGTCCCGTAAAAATATTATATATAAGAATATTTTTTTTTATTGCAAAAACGAGGAAAATATAAGAAGGAAGAAGGGCCAGTATAAATCTAAAGTTCTTAAGATATTACAATTGCTTTGATATCTTACTGTGCTATTTATTGTACTAGTTTTATTGCACGTGCACATAGTTAAGTATCAAAATTATTTATTATTTAGTTGAAATCTGTAAACATAGATTATTAGATTTGCTATAACTTTATTTAAAAATTTTAAAATTTTTAATGAAATGGATTTGTGCGCTAAACTAGGATCAAGGTACTTTTATATACTTGGATACACCACATCAGTTTTTTTATTTTGTACATATCAAACTTCATGTAATACGATCTCCAATTTGTTTATCTTAGTCATTAAATATAATGTTTGTTTTGATAATATAATAAAATAATCTTATATATATATATATTTCTACAAAAAGGGCTTGACTTGAGAAAGGATATTGTTGTAAAAGTAAAAAAAAAACTTAATAGTTAGATAGTTTGTATAAGCTCAGCACAAAATACATACATTCCACTAGACTAAAATAAAAAAAAGACAAAAACTAAAGATTAATGGTAAGTCTAGTATTTTTTTTTATATGATAAAAGCATTCACATAAGTATATAATAATACTAAAATTTTTGCATGAAAATTCATTCAAAACTTACAAACTATACAAAATCTATAACTTATAATCAGCAACATAAAAATTTTAATATTTATAGAAAACACTCTGAAACCTTCAAAGATTATAAAAAAAAACTCTCTAAAAATTCAAAATTTAAAAAGAAAACCTAAAAAGTCAAAACTTAAAAAGAGTATAAAGTTTACAAATTAGAAAAAGCCCTTTGAAAAAAATAATATTTGTAAAAAAATAACCTAAACTTTTAAAATTTATAAAAATACCCTCAAAGTTAAAATTTTATAAAAAACACCTTGAAAATATCTACGCTTCTAAACAGTACAAAACCTATGAATGATAAGTAGGACCATAAAAACTTTGACCATAGACTTAATGTTAAGTACATGAAATAAATTGCATTAATTATAAAACTAATAAATGGGTCACTTGCATCGTGTATGGGTAACTCATTTATTAAACAGGTTGACCCGATTATTTGATGGGTCGGATCAGGTTAGTATTACACATGTCGTGTTAAAATTTATACGAGTTGGGTCGGCCTGCCTCTGTGGAGTAACACTCTGCTGGAAGCTGTTGGCCTTCTTGTTTTGATGATGTTTAACAAATAATTTACTTCTAATGTTATTTGTCTAGTGTTTGTATAATTCTATTTATTATAGACAAACAACATGTTGGAGGATGGATGGAATTGCGTATTCACGATCATATCCAATGGAGGTTGGCGGAATTGTGGAGTGAAGCCTATTCTATTCAAATTGAAGATCCAAGTTCTAGCTTCATCCGTAAGTGTACCAAGTTAAGCTACATCGAAGATCAATCAAGCTTGGGTATATTTAGTTTAGGTTTTATATTATGTGTGTTAGTACTTTAAGCTCAATCATATATACACACACATATTTGGTTTTTATATATATAGTTATATATATACACAAGTTTTGGTTTATGGACTTAACAATCATTGTATACATATTTCATTAAGTCTATAAAATTATTTCATAGGGTTTCAAAACATTGTTTATGCCAAAACATCAAATTTCATGTATATCATATTTTCATGTTTTGGACACACTTGTAAAATACATGAGTTTTCACAAATGGGAAAGTTAATTTGAGAAATTCTTTTTCTAACATATTCAATTTTATGTTTATAAAATTTTCCCAAAGTTTTATCAATTTTGGAATTAATTTTTTATGTTTTTTGAATTTACAAAATCAAGTTTTTAATAAGCTCATGTTCATGCACATGTTCGTGCATGTTTTTGCAAAACTGATGCGTTTTCACAATTGGGAAATGCGATTTGAAAATTTTCTTCGTTTACATGTTTATCATCATATATACAAATATTTTCCCAAGTTTTATTAATTTTGGAGTTGTTTTGTTATTTTCAATTGAATTTACAAAACCCAGTCGACCGTGCTACAGTGTGGTCAACCGCCATGGTTGACCGTCTGCAATCCAGAGAGCAGTTTTGCAGGTTTGCTTCACGCGGTCGACCGTCACGGTCGACCGTCGAAGTTACTGTTGCACAGTAACGGTAACTTGCTGATTTTTGTTTTTAGTGGGTTTTTAGGGTTGTTTTCTTCTTCCCTATATATACGCCTTTTGTCATAACTATTTTCTACCACCAATGGATATTTTAAACAAGTTTTTACAAAATTTTATGTTTTGTTTAAGTGTGGGTTAAAAGTTTCAAGTTTGTGAAGATCGGTTCACAAGAAGAGGAGATCATCTTTGGTTTAAGCTTTCCACTTCACATCTCCATCTCTCTTGTTCTAGAGAAGTTTTCTCAACTCAATTATCTAGCTTGTTTACATTTACATTATCATATTTATATTTGCTAGACTTTAATTGAGTTTGATTTTATTTCTCTTTGTTCACACACAACCATTGAGCTTATAGTATTTCATACATAGTATAATTTGGGTTGTGGGATTGTATCATTAAGAGTGAGCTTCATTATGTTCTCATCCATATTAGAGAACAATCATTTATTGTATTTGTGCTTAATTGTGAGGTTCACATTGTATTATACTTGTACACCGAGAGGAGTGGTTGGTGAGAGACGGGGTCGAATCCAAGAGGAGTGACGTCGGTTGACGAACCTAGGGAGAGGTCGCATCCGAGCACTTGAGGAGGAGGACACGAACTAGGCTAACACTTATAGGGTGTAGAGTGTAATTGTAAGTGTGTAATTGTGAAGTTTTCGATTAGCTAGAAAACCGAGGGTAAGCGTAGAAAACCCGGTTGTGTTAGTGGATTTCTCCCCAGGAGTAGGGAGCGGAGACGTAGGACGGAAGGTCCGAACTCCGTGATCATTTTGTGTGTTTGCATTGTTTATTTGCACAATATCACTCTTGTTTTGTTTATGTTTATTTCACCATTGTGTTAATTTGTATATCCTTGCATATATCTCATAGTATATGTAGAACCCCGTAATTTTTATATGAATATATGTGAATTATTAGTAAATAAATAATTCTTTTATGATAAATAGCTTGAGGTCATTGATGTACATGATAACAAGTTATTTGAGATGATATGAGAGTATGGGTGTAGAGTTTTGTGCGATGGTGTTGCAAATAAGCAAAACATGCACAAAAAACTAAATTTTTCCAGATCAGTCGACACATCAGTCGACTGACTGTATCGGTCGACACATCAGTCGACTGATACGCTGATTTCCAGTTTTTTAGGTTTCGGGTCTGATTTGATTTGGTTCGGGTTTGGGTCGGGTTTAACTGTTGGTATATATCCCCTCTCACCCGAAATCACCCCCTCTCACCTTCAGACCAGAGAAAACCCTAGCCCCCTCTCCCCTATCTAAAACCCTAGGTTGTTCTTGGTGATTTGGGGGAGAACTTGGAGGATTTTCGGCGAAATCTTCTCATTGCAGCAAAGGGGATCCACACTCTCTCAGATCCAGGAGTTGTTCATCACCCAGAGGCGAGTAACATCTCGCCCAACTCTGTCCCTTTTGTCTTACATGAATTTATTGAGTTTAACGAATTTTTATTGAGCCAAAAACGTATTTTTAGTACAAAGAATGAATCTTTATGGTATATGAGGTGAGGTATTGAGCATCTCAGTTTATAAAAAGACCAACAATGTTTTATTAAATGGATCTAGATCTGAAAAACGATTGACAAGAGTTATTTCATGATTTATTGATTTCAAAACATATTAAACATGTTTTTATGTGTTTAAGGTTTTTGATAAATGTTTATATGTGGTCTTTCATTCCAGTTTAGTGCAATTATGTTGATATCAGTATGTTTCATGCTTGGGATCGATGGGGATGAGTTTAGATCGAAGTTTGGGTAAATAAAAACCTGTGCAGAGTTTCTACAGTCTATCGGTCGACTGATCAGTCGACCGACGGGCAAATTTCCAGTCGTCAGTCGGCTGATCAGTCGACTGACGGGCTAATTTTGTTTTCTCAGCTTCTCAGTCGACTGGTCAGTCGACTGGTGAGTTGAGGTTGTGCTGTCTGAGCCTTATCAGTCGACATAGGAGTCGACTGACATCACCAGTCGACACATCAGTCGACTGATGAGCTGTTTTACAGATTGTTGATCTGTTTGAGTTGCTTTTCGGGGTCGCCTCGATGACCTGACCCTAGTTTACCATGTTAATGATTTATCTGTACATGTGGGATGACTTTTGACACAAGTTTAGACATGTACACCGAGATGCGGATGATTTTAGATTATGTATATCTGCCCACATATGCTTTTCACAGTTACACAGTCCTCGTGTTGGACTATAATCTATTTCAGTCCTCGTGTTGGACTATGGTCCATTTCAGTCCTCGTGTTGGA